CTATGAGTTGGAGCCAACTCATTGATATCTAACAGTGGGTTCAGTTTGGGATCCTAACACAGGACCCTCCCTGATTTGTCTGTGTATGTTCCCAAGTGCCCCTCGTGTGGCTTTACTTTCTACAGATCTTCACCACAAATAACTCCCTTTGACTCTGATTTTAAGCCTTTGACTGTTTTTTTCTGCTTGCATTATCTAAATGTCATGATGTTTCCTAATGACTTGGTCCCTAAGTACAAGTCTCCCTGGGTTCTGCTTATGCTTATGTGGAAATAGCAAATTATAAACCCATACTCTTTCACATAGGAAAAAAGGAACTGTATGTTCCATTCTAACCGATTCAGTTCTGGCTAACAAGAAAGTTGTTTTAAGAGGTTGCTTGTTAGCTCTAAACCTTGCGAGGGCAAGAGCATTGACTCTCGTGGGACGTAAGGCAGTCATGACCTACTATCAGCTAAGGAAAAAGAATGAGACCGCAAGAATAAAAGTCATGGGACTTGGTGATATAAACCCCAACTTTTGCAGGGCAAAGGCGCTTTCAGCATCAAAGGTATGCCTATTTTTTTTCTTGTCATCATGAGCATTCTCTGGCTACATTGTAAAGTGTTCCCTGCATTGAATGCATTCCACTGTGGAATGTAATTATCAATCTAATTATGGAACTCACTGGCTGTCTTGGAGACTTGCATTCGACTTACGACGTGGACCGTCGTGAGGGGGCTGAGTTTCTCTGTTAGTCAGAAACCTTCCACACCACCTAGCTTTGCTTTCATTATAGTAAATCGATGACGCTAACAGTTACTGACACCGCCTCCGTTAATTGATAATTGTCTTATGCCTCGTCTTAAGCTTCACTCTGTTCACGGCTGCCTTGCTCGGGGTGAAGAAACTGGCCTGCTCTTTGTCGCGTGGGTCTCAGTTCCAGTGCTCAAGTTCAAGTAGCAGCTCCCTCTCCCCGCTGCACTCTGTGCCATTCACTGTCTGGAGCAGAGTTAGCGAGGGTGGGTACTAAAGACAAAGGGGGAAAAGGTTGAGAGAAGAGCACCGCTCAATGCTTGAAGTTACCTGACCTCTTTATTTATTTGCATTGATTTCATCCCTTTATTCCTAAAAAGGATGTTTTCTGTTTTGCTCCATGTCCTTGATTTGTGGCACACTTGGGGCCCTACTGGCCAGGGCATGAATAACAAAGCAGAACAGACAAACAAAAACGAAGTGAGGGAGCCGTGTGTTCGGATGACTTTGTCTATTCTCATGTTGCTTTCAAAGAGGAAAGAAAGGGAGAATAACGTACTCTACAATATTACGAAATCAGTGACGTAATTAGACTTGTAATTCTTATTCATTATGTAATTGAGCTACCTGGAATCCAAAATACTACTTTATCTCTGTTTGTTTGTTTTTTATCTCTGGTTTCTTGAACCATGCTCTGAGCATACATAAGTGCAGAAGACAAAAGTGTAGTGTTTCCCTAATTTGGCTCAACAGCCGGATAACAACATTAACCCTAAATTCTTTTATTTTGAAGAAACATGAAATCTTAATAGTGTTTTTATTTCCTAAGATATACATCATTAATTTAATGAGTAATAGATATATATTTAGTTTTCCTTATTCGATATTTATAAGGATCTGAAAAAGTCAAAGATATTGGATGGCAGTCCTTTATATAAAATTATTAAGAACAATGTTAACATGCAAGAGATACTGTAAAATATGAATATCGTATACACTGTAAATGATGTAG